GACTTGGTGAATGCCAAACTTTCTTTTCAACACGTTCCCTGCGTAATGACCCACGGGTTGGTCGCTCGCATGTCTAGGTTTTGGTGTAGTTCGTAATACAGTGTTCATTGCTTTTTGCTGATTGCAATTCCTTTGACTACACTTAAATTATAACGCTTCTGATGCAATTTCATGGTTTCGTATTATATTAAGTTCAAAAATAAATGGTTATGTGTTAGTAAACCACCTGTGGGTCACAAGCAATTTTTTTTAATTAGGCAGTTAGATTTTTGCACTTGCGGGAACAACATATGAGAGGGCCAACGTGATGATTTGACGTACAAGGTCACAATGCGTTAAAATATGTGCTGGGAGTTCTTGGTATTCTGTGCTGAATACGCTTGAACCCGAGAACACATGTCTTCGGCGACGGGGTGTAATATGTCCTGGGGAATGTCACTAATTAACTCGGTGATGGTGTCCTTTTAGCTTCTTAATTGAGTGGGAATTGATCACAAATGTCCGACACTTTGGATATCTTAATAGAAAATAATCAGGAGAGGTCAGGCCTGGTGATCTTGGCGGTCATTTGCGAACAATCCACATTCAGTTGATGAGCTAAAAGACACCATTACCGATCGATGCGGCGACGGTTCGAATTATCGCTCTTCAGCGCCTGCGCGAGGTTGGTCTTGAGCATCATCGCGCTGAGACAACGGCATCTTGAAGATCACAGGGGAGCTCGCCGGTCACGTTTTGGTCTCTCTTCTACTGTATTACACATCCTGAGTGATTGAGTGGACGATTAGCGATAGATCCAATCCTGTCCTGGTAGAATTGAAAGTTGAATCTCGGTCCTATCATACGAGACGTTGAGGTAAGAAGTAAACACCAATTTGGAGGTACAAGGCCGCGGGGCACATTTTCTTCAGGGGGACATTTTAATCCGTTATAGATGAATTGTTAGTACGTTTACCATTTCTCATTGCGGGATATTTTTCTTTGAAAATTTTTTCCCCAAAGTGAGCTTTATTATCTTAATCAACTTCATTAAACTTTTTAATTTAACATTATTGAAAACATTAAAATATTCCTTTTCTCTGACGAATGCAATTAAACGGGTTGGACAAAATAAATAATTTGTTTCGTGCAATTAGTGTAAATTTATTATTAATTAGTAGTAGATGAAACAGCGCAGAAATACCTGTTTCGATGTTTACTTAAGGAAGAATCCTATTTGTGAGGTATATACACTTGGAGCATGCTATTTGGGGTTTCATTTTCCATTAAATTTTTCTAAACCAGGATATGGGCAGATAGAGAATCCTGAAGTTCGGCCAAAGTATTCCAGGGTAGGACGTAGAACATCGAGAGAAATATCCAACATGCTATTAATGTTTTCCCTCAGCTGTTCGACGTCTTCGAACTTGATATATTTAACAAAAATTGATAAACGAAACTCGTTATAATGGAGTTTGCTTGAAGGAAAGTGTTAAGAGATCCGCATACTATTCTGAAGCAATAGGAGAAGATTCAAAGCAGAATTATTGGGATTCCTCTTGATGAACTATGCCCTAATTTCGAAAAATTGCAGTGACGTGTTCTATTGTGCATCGAGAACGGGGGTATCAATACCAGGATCTGCTGGAATAAAGGCGAGTCTTGCATCGTTGGATCATGCGAGGTGTGAACTTGCTATCTTTCTTATGTATAGGAAGTTTTGCCATATTTCTTGGGGTGCGCTCATAATAAAACGCTGTTTTCCGTATAGAAGCCAATAACCGAAGCGGCTACCTCGAGGAAAAAGGCAAGAAGATGAGAAAGGAAATTGGTCTCGATGACGGAAAGGGGAGAAGATCAGCGGAAAACCGGGCCGAGCACGAGGCGGAAGAAACAGTTGGCGTCGCATCTATCACGTTCAAGTTCTTTGAGAGGTTCTCTGGACACGTGAGCGGATCTTTTAATTTCGGGGTCTTCTGGCGTTGGTATTCAGAAGGAAAACGTCAAGATGTCCCTCTGCTGTATCCATTTTTTTTTTTTGTGAAACTATTAAGACGTTATGACAAAGAAGCCACACTGAAGGACAAAACTGTCCGTATTTTCGGAAACATCCACCTTGGGACCAATTACCTTGTTATAGGATAATACAATTGCTCTTTTGAAACATACCATTTGAAGCTAAACTCTTCTTCCATAAGTGTTTAAAGTTTCATCAGAATCCATCCAGCTTTCATGGTGATATCTCAACTGAAAGCAAATTACTATTTTCGGACAGTTTTGTCCCTTGTGCCCTGGTTCCATTTCGCGCACATGATGTCACGTGGAACACAACGAATTATTCAGAGAATCACGAATTTGCATAGACTAAGGTTTGGCGAATGTCCTGTGTTCGTCACATGCTTAGATGAACTAGTGGCATATAGCTTAAAAGCCGTCCTCCTCTAGGGCTGTCTTCATTCTTCTTTAGTGGCATTCTTGAATTCAGTCATTATGCGTTCATATTTTGACAGCACCCTTCGAAACTTCCTATCGCTTCTCCATGGGGACTATAGCCTCAGGGGAATTACCAATCGATGCAACATTGGTCGATCGTTTGTTTAAAAGATCCAGAAGCAACATTTTCCTGACCGCAGAGGGTCGAAGGGCGGTCGTCCCCAGAAACTATCATTTCAAGACGAGCGGTTCTGCGTCCTTGCTTTCACTTCTGGGAAGTTGGAAACAGCCACATATGTCACCAATAAGCTCAGGGACGACGTGAGAGTCGAGTTTAACGTGAAGACCATTCCCCGCACCCTCTACGAAGCTGGTTCAAGTGCGGCAGAGAGGAAAGAAAAACCGAAACTCTCGTTAAAAAACATCAAGGCCCGCCTGGAGTTCGCCGAAATCACATGGGTTGGACGATTGATGACTGAAAGCGAGTCATTTGGTCGGGTGAGACCAAAATCAACCGTTTTTGGCTCAGATGGACGTGTCTGGTACTGGAAGCGTAAGATGGACCGCCGGCAAGCTCGACACGTGAAGCAGACTCTCAAGCACGGTGGGGGCTCGAGGAACCTCCCATATTAGGGATATTACAATATTTTTCCAAGCACACCGATGCTCACATGTCGAGTGCTTCTGTAATCCAGATCACTTTACACTCGGCTCAAACCAATTTATTCGCTGAGAAAATTTATCTTTGGCTTCGGTTCTTCTTTGGCCCTGGGTCGTTTTGCGCACGTGGATTCCTCCCGTTCGAGGAAACTCTTTTGGCTTTTCGTCTTTCTCATGGCTTCGGGCTACACGACCTACGGAATTATAGATACCATCAATGAATACATGTCTCGTCCTACGACGACCTCGACCGAGGTAGAATCCGGCAGAGTCTTCTCGTCATTTATACAGTGACTTTGCCCGTAAAATTCTGAGTTTGACCAAATGTATCAATCAACAATTTTGCAGACGGTGATTAGGGGAAACCTCCCCTTCCCAGCCGTCACGATATGCCCGAACACCCGTCTCTTGAAGAAAGAGCGCCGCAATAATAAGTCCCAGTTCTTTCGGATGCTTCAAAATGCACTTCAGAACCTTCCATTCCCAAAAGACGCAGGTCAGCAGCCAACAGCAGATTCAACCCCTTCCTCCATTGGTGCGGAATGCAGAAGGAATGAGAGCGGAGAGACCACGACCTGTGTTGCCCCCTTTGCGGAACTGAATCGTACGCTTCCAAATTACTTCTTTTCTCTTGGAACGATAGAGTGGCTCCAAATTCAATTGCACTAACTTGTTTGGAAGGCACGGGATAAACTGTATAACAAGGATTTAAAAAATAAATTAAATATTCAAAGAGATTTTTGTTTAGTAGGAAACATTCGAGAAGGCCTTGAAAAATATTCAAAAATAGAAAGAAGACCTTACATTTCGTCAAAAATTACATAATGATTAACGTTTTCGGCTGATTCATAGTGCGGTCTCCTATCGTACTTCGTGCAAAAAAAAGGAATTATTTCGCAACAAAGGGAAATTCTATCCCTTCCTCAGTTGAGGCGTCGTTATTCAATACATGTTCAACTATCTATAGTAAGGAGTGGTTAATGGTAACAGACTTTTGGGCTACATTTACATCTGTTATAGTCGCGATGCTAAGGGCTCTCCTCTGCTGTGTTAGGAATGGTTTTATAAATTCCCCAAGGCTAAAAGAAAACCGAAAGGACTAGTAGTGGAACTGCCTTAATATTGCTAATTCTATTACTAATACTACTATATCGTTATTTTTGCTGCCCATACCAAAGTTAGCCTCTGACAAGTTGACATGTACAATCCTACAGGGACGATCCTTCACACTTAGAGTGACATGAAATTTCCTCAGATGGTTAAGTCCAGACCTTTAATAATACTTGACCCGTTCAGTAGCCGATTATTTTCACTTGTATTCTCATTTTTCTGGCTTCTAGCAGTCCCAACATTGTCTTCCAGTGCATTGGGTAATTTCGTCTTGGTGTACTTTCAAGTACTAAAAGAAAAAGCAATATTGTGTCGTCAAGTATGGCTTTGGATGGCTAGATGGTTTCAACGAAACCGGAAATAGTAAGCAGGGGAAAATGGTATACAACATTATCAGCGTGTTTCGGGCTTCATAACGTATTCCATCAAATGGGAAGAAAGGTTTTCTCATGTAATGCTTATGTTGCTGCAGTGCATACAAGTACTACCTGTCAGATGTGGAGAATTTGGAAGGTAATCATGTTTCACGTTTAAGAAGCCACTGTAATTCCCTTCCTAAATGTGTAATGTAACTTTTGGCACACAGGAATGTGGCGAGCATTTTACCCTTATTCTACTTGGCATCACTTTCTGGTTATGTGACTTTAAATCTGAACGTTTTCATGAAGACAACCTTTATGTTTTAGCAACCTGGCATATTAAAAGTATATACAGGATGCGGTCAATGTTCTGGAACCAATTCTTTCGAAATCATTTAATGGAAACAAAACGAAAATTTACCAGCTAAATGAAGAAAACGATAAAGGAGACATATCAGACGACTGCTTTAAAGATCATTTTCAAAATTACCGCTTTCAGCGTCATTGAAAGCGTCTAAGCAACGAGGAAACTGGCCGACGATGGCCAACTTTTTGCTGCAGTATTCCCGAAACGGAATAGTCCATTGGGTTAATTGTCGGGCGAGTTGGCCATCCATTCATCCGGGGTGAAGAATCACGGACAATTCTTTCGGAGAAACTCTTGAGTGATCTTGGTTTTATGCGATGGTGCAGAGTCCTGTTGAAAAATCCATTCACTTCGTACAATATGTTGTTGAGTCCACGGAACGAGGACTTTCTCCAAGACAATCTCCAAGTAAATCTGAGCGTAGATTTTGACGCCGCTCTAGATGAAGATCAGTGGAGACTTTCCGGTCGTGCAAATCCCTCTCCACACCTTGACCGAAGGTGGAGCTTGCTGACTTTGGATGATTCGGCGGTCGATATTGTCTGCTAAGCAATTCTCCAGGACACGAACATTTTGAGGATTGAAGACTTCCTCTGTCGGGAAAATGTATTCATCTGGAAAGAGAATCGTTCTGTGGCGGCCATTAGCGATCAGATATTTAATTAATTTTCCTTTGCAAAGTCGTTTCATCATTTTTTCTCTTAATCTTTGGGCCTTCTACTGCTTGTAAGGGCGAAGGCATAGTTCGTCATTGACGATACGATGTACATTTCGTTCGTCGATCTTCAGTTTTTTGGCCATCTTTCTCATTAAAGGTCTTGCATTTCTTTTCATCCGAGATTGTATAGCTTTCTTGTTTTTTTGAGTGCTCGCGGTATTTGGACAGGCAGGTCTTTGTCGGTCTTCAGCAGTATTCAGCTCTGGAAACCTAATGACAGCTCGCCAGACTCTTTTTCTTGGAATCTCAAGAAAATATGCAATTTCTACATTGCTTTTTCCGTTCTTGTGCAGCTCGATTTTGGTGATTCGCTGATCTTGTATAGACATCTGAAGAAAATGGGTTAAAGGGCGGATAATTTTTTTAAGAAAAAATGCAAAAGCTTAGATATATAAAGAAACATTTGAAAACATATTACAATTGATAAACAATGGAAATTTGAAAATAAAGTAAAAAATATTTTCCACGACAGAAATTATTTTTAAAAAGTTTGGTTCCATAGCTTTTGCCGCACCCTGTACATAACGGAGAGATACGGAGTTCAATCGATGCGTTTCATAACTTTCTTTCCGTCCCGTACCGTCTACTTCTAAGTCACATGATTCTTCCCATAAGATATGAACATTTTCTTTATAGCTGACGCCAACGTGACGAAACATTTCCTGGAATATCTCAGTGAGTCGCTTAATGCTGCGAACGCGTGGAATAACTTCCGAAACTTTTCGAAAGATGCAGTTTTTCCCATCGATCCCAAGAAGTTAATTCGCTTTTGCAGCTTCGATAGTCACCCATGCAGTACGACGTAAGTTCCATTTATAGTATCCAGTAGCACAATGTTCCCTCTTTGTCTCTCATGGGCACGGTTCATGGGCAACTCCAAAGAAGCATCTAGTTTACAGGGTGACCAGAAAGTTTCCTGATACTTTAAAAATCAAATATTTGCATTCAATGTGACAATAATAAGCATTTTTTACCAGAAAATATGATAGAATAGACAATTTCCAACTAATATAACCAATCATTTCCAAAATGTCCTCCCTTTTTCATGCACTACGTCAATCGTTTTGGGAACTGATCGACTGCATGCAGTGTTTCGACGATGGTACTGTACCACGCTGCGATAAGGGCTGGTCGGAGAGACTCCACCTTTTTGTGGGGTTTTTAACAGACATTGGCCTTGAAAATACTCGAAATGTAGTAGTACAAGGAGTTGAGGTCAGGCGAGTTTGCAAGCAAATTCATAGACGACATGAAATCACGAAATGTTATACACAGTGCGGCAAGAAAGTGATGAAACTGGAATAAAAGAAAAAGAACAATGCATAGGGCAACATTTTTATTGATCTATTTCCTCAAAATAGTCCCCGAAGAACCGAATGCACTTATTACAGCGTTCATATAAACTTTGAAAATACTTGGAAAGCTCTTCTGCTGTGATGGTATTTTGTTCTGCCGTCACGTTTTTCTTAATATCATCGATCGTATGAAATTGGCGAACTTTCAATCTCAATTTCAGTTTGGGAAACAGAAAAAAGTCTGCTGGAGCGAGGTCGGGGAAATAAGGAGGGTGATTGAGCACTGCAACCTTTTTTGGGCTAGAAATGTCCTCACGTTGATAGTTGTGTGAGCAGGTGCGTTGTCATGCAAAAACCGCCAACTATCATGTTCCAAATGTTGATTCTCGCCAACAACCATGTCAGTACTTCTAAGTAGAACTCGCTATTGACAGTCCTTCCTTCTGGTAAATTCCGCCAACCATGATGGTTGGCGGAATTTACCAGAATAT